CATGAACAGGATAACTTTTACATTAAAATGATACATTTTGAAAGGTACAAAAGTATTTCCCATCATTTGAGCACCGTATAAAGCAGAATATAGAATAATGAACCACAATGTAAAATAATGAACATTTACCATGAGATCTCTAATGCATCTTCTAGTACGATTCCGATTCCCTCATGAGAGCATTGCAGTTCTGGCCTGATTTTCCTTCTCCTGTTTCATTTGGAAAAAAAATAATAATAATAACCCTAGGGAAAAAATCCACTTTTCCAAATATCCAGCTCACCCTAACATTTTAATTTTAGTCGTTCTCACTAAACTAGAATCAGTTTTCTTTTCGCGTCACATATTTTGTAATCACAAAATTCCTGCATAAGCATGTCAACACTCACATATTAGACTGTACGTGCATATAATTAATAGCCGTGCCGATGCAGTGATCTATAACATTGAAGAGGTGTGTGATACTGTGTTCATTTAATTCCACTTCAACTTACATTCAGATTGCTGCATCCATGCACCAAATGTAGGCATGCATACATTAAAAGCTCCAATACAGAATAACACAAAAACTATCTCATCTGGTTATCAGGGAAACAAAACAAGAATACCATAAACTGAAACCCAGTATGATACAGACCCCATCTATGTAAGTCCTATGAAATACCTTCGTTTTATAACTCTCTGTGTGCAATAACTCGGGGTTCAGTGTTACTTGTTTTTAGTACCCTTTGTTATCACAGATTTTGTTTTCCATTGATTAAAATCAACCAGTTCATACATGCTATATAGAAATGGTTAGTTAAGCAACAAAAAGATCCACATTCAACATACGGTACCTGGATACACATGCAAGTATAAAAGAAAATGCATATCCAGAACTTTCATAACTCAAGAAGATGGGAAATTTGTTAAGGGACGAGAAAATGAAAAATATTGGTGATTAGCTCTGATCAACTTAATCAAGACAAAAATGCCCTAGAAAAATTAAGTGCTAAGGGAACGAACACAAGGGAATAAAAATCATTAAACAAGGTCCGCAGCACCATGTATTAGCAGTAAGACAACACCAAGACACTAATTGGAGGACTCCTCGAATCTCGACTAAATAATCTCCAAATTTCATAATTGCAAATAATCAATACTGAGTTTAAATTTTACCTTGAAACTTTCCGTTCATGCTTCGCTCGCACACCCTCGGAAGAGGGTCGCTTCTCCAACCGGAGTTTCTTTTTCCTAATTTTTCGCAGAAAGTTGAATCAAATTAAACAGCAACTAAACCCTAGCTTGTTAAACATGAATTAAATTAATTGCATACCTTCGTTCATGTCTCTTTGATGTCGCGTCGAGGTCCGACTCAGATTTTGATGGGAGCTTGAGTTTGCTTTTGCGATGGCGTCTAGACACCTCCATGTTCTCCATCTTCGCTTTCTACCAAGCCTCTCCTTTAAGCAGACTATTTACGGGGAGGAGATTTGAACATTGGGGCCTGGGGGTGAATTGGATATGGAAGAAAAAAGTTTACAACCTATTATTACCGGTTGAGTCATATTACTATATTAGTCTATTTTGGGTAGTTCAGTGGCTCTTTTTATTTATTTATTTATTTATTTATTTATTATTATTATTATTATTATTATTATTATTTGTTGAAATGACAGAATTTATAACTCAATGATACAATAGTTCGAGACTATAAAGCCAAATACAAGCCCAGTCACTCCTTAAGACTAATAAAGAGAGAGGGCAAACTCTCGGCATAGGCAAAGGCTAAGGACCCGAGAGTTCACACCAACCTCCGGCCAACATTGAACTGCCCAAACGGCAAAGAACAGCCAACAAAATTAACTTGCCACTGAAACCCCCTGGAACATAGCAACAGGGGCGGCCACAGACTTTAAGGACAACAGGAGCACAACTACGATCAACGGTCAACGTCGTACGTCAACGTTCAAATCAATATTTAAGCAATTGAAAAAATAAAAACATAAATCTTAACCAGATACAGCGTTTCTTATTTAATAGCTAGGGTTGAGTCTCACATTCTCATTTTAAGAATAGGGATACATTTGATCCAATCCTTATATAGTATATACATTTATGTATAATATTTGTTTTTTATGTATTTTGCAAGGAAAAATGAAATAAACAAGAAGTTGAGTATATCACAAGTATAAATTCCACAACTTAAAAAATAACATACTATTGAAGGTTAAATAATTCTAAACATTTCCTTTTTATTTTTTTATATTGAAATAATTTTGTATAATAATTAATAACATATATTTTTAATGTCAATATAATAATACATTTATACATATAACATATATATACTATATATTACTAAAAAATTCTACAGGGGCCGTAGGTCCGCCACTGCCTACCAAGCTAACAAAACTTACACAGGAAACCAAACCAAAATACAACAAACAAAAAGAAAAGGAAAGAAGAAAACCAACAACACTAACTACAAAGAGAATAATCTCTCCAATTTTTCAAAGCCAAACTGACAGTGTCTTCTTCAGACCTGAGAGTTTGCTGAAAACCCCCAAAGATTCTGAGTATTCCACATGCACCATAGAGTTGAATTCTGTCCTCTGCACTAGGCTTATAGTTCAGAGTGCACAACTTAAGCCACCAATGTCTGAAACTAAGGTTTCTGCCTTAAGGGCATCCCATGAAAATTGGCGCCAATTTCCAGATCAGTTGTGCTCTTCTGTGGAAAAAGAATAGGTGCTCCTAAGATTCATCTGATTCTCCAAAGAATTTGCAAATCTGGTCCAGCTTTAAACCTTTTGTATTTAAGTTAACCAGAACAGGAAGGATGTTATTGAGGCCTTTCCATAAGAAATGATTGATCTTCCCCTGGATGTTCAAACCCCATGTTCTCCATTCTGGCTCTCTTCAGCTCCAACTGGTTATCACTAGGACCTGCAATGTATATCTTCCTCCAACTGCTTCAATTAACTTAGAGTATGTGGAAGCAACTGAGAATTTCCATTGTGACTCCAGTACCAAGATAGAATATCACCGCTGTGGGGATGGAGTTCTTCAATTTTCAAGATTGTTATTGCTTCTTCTCTAATGAACCCCTACTCTATTAGACTTCTATTCCATTTCCTTCATGAGACTTCCATGCGGTCCTTAAACAAATAAGATCAAGATTTCTTGGTTGTCTTCTCAAGGGCTTGAGATTTGGCAGGTTTGTTACCCAAGGCTGCTCCCAGATCTTCCCTGATTTGCCATCCCAGAGATACGAGAAAACTCAATGCATCATCAACTTTATGCCGATTTAGTTGAACATATTTGAACTCGTTTTGCTAACAACTAAAAAAAAAATATTTTGTAATTGTACTATTTTTTCTTGTGTAATCTTAATTTAAGTTATTTGGTCTTGTAGTGTTCTTTCATTTTCATGTATTTAAAATTTATTATTATAATTTAAAAATATAAAATTTATTTTTATTGAGAATAGAATATAAAATTTATATTGAGTGAGTGGATAATTGGTCCCATGTATTTATTTAAATAAATGTATAGGAACATGGGTGTGTGTTTAAATGGAGAGATGTAGTGGAAAAATAATGTGGAGATATATGTGGATGAGAGAGAGGGTTACTTGATTTAACGAATGAGATGTGTTTTGATGGGTTGTGGATGAACTTAAAAAAAATAGTCAAAATACACTAAAAAGGAAGCAGCCGGCAAAGAAAACGCTTTTCGTCGAAATTTACTAATTGATCAATGTTATCCACCTTCTGACTTTTGTTTTCTTCAACCACATTTAACAAATCAAAAACTAGAAATTCGTTCTTTATGTTTTTTCTCCAGAAGAAATCGATAGACATAATCAAACAGATCAGTTGTTTAATCCATTTTGCATGAATCTAATTGATTCTTGGCAAGTTGGCATTTGTATAATCTCTGGTTCTGACAAATTGATTGGTGATGTCCCAATGATTGAATATATCTTAATTTTCTCATTGTTCAACGACATAACAGCCCATATATTTACCATGTAAGAAGAATTGTCTCTGTTTCGTGTTTTTCCTTTCTCCCATTTTTTTCTTTTATATGGACAAATTCCAGTGTTGTTCACTTCTTAATTCTGTGGCACTTTTTTTCCCCTTCTAAAAAATGCAGGAGAAAAAGAGAAATGAGATGTTTGTTTAAGATAATAGAGCCTGTTTTCCGATGTGGGGCCTGAGAATTTCTTCGGCTTAAAATGTCTATCCAGCAAGGAGACACAGAGGCTAAAGATATTGAAGGTATCTTCTATTTTTTTTATTTTTTTTTTATACGATCATTTTTTTTTACATTTTGTATCTTAACTGAGGCATTTTGGTTTTGGAAATATATGTTGACAGTAGACATACGTTTTCTCATAAAGTTGCATATTTTCATTAGAAAATGTTTGTGCTTTATAAAAAAAAACATAAACATAAGTATGAATTTTTGTTCGCATAATAAAACGGATTGACCTGTGTAGCGATTACACTATGTCAGCTCACACAAGAATTTATGGTTGTTGTTTCGTTGGAATCAAGACCGAGACAGATTTAGCTGTAAACATCATTGAATCCAAAGTATGGGTTATACTGAAAGTTTGAATAGAAGCACTCAACTGGTATCTATTGTGGTGCTTTTGGAGCAATGGTTTGTACTCTTTTGTGGATTGCATTATTGGAATTTACTTTAGTAATTTTTCTATTATTTCCAATTCTAAGAAATACTATTGGAATTTACTTTAGTAATTTTTCTATTATTTGTCTCAGGTGTAAAAATAATATTTATATATATTAAGCTAAGTGATACATGCACTAGCATGTATTAGTTAAGGTGTAAATCCACTGCAAACTATCAAATTGTGTGAAGACAGGCAAACACTGACTTAACTTTTCATCTGATAGTGAAAGAAAGAGAAAAAAGATAAAATACTGAGCTATATAAGACGACCTTGACTTAAAAGGTTTTTTTTTAAAACAAAAAAAAAAAAGAAAAATAAGACCTTGAATTACCGTGAACCACTAAACACTAATCTTATGTATGCATTGGACCCATTGGTCATGCTATTGTTTTTCCACTACACACGTTTAGACAATTATCTAGCATTTTGAAGGAATAAGCTTAACTTATTCTTGCCCATCTTAAGGTTCAGTTATTACCAATTCAAAGACATTTTTTCCCCACCGTGGGCCCCGCATCGACACAGTCCCTCGTGACATTTGCCAGCTGTTACGGCCACATCAGCCAACCCGAGCCTCCAGTCGGCCACTTGTGGTAGTAAAGTCCCGGGTCACGACTGAATTAACTATTGACATTTTGATTTCCCATGATAAATCATTGCATCTACTAAATTGTTGGCTCCACTATAAAATTTAAAACAAAATGCGCAATCACAGCATTGTCGTCTAATCAAATTTTCGAATCACTGATTATAAACAATTCGATTACAAAAAATAATTAAAAATGTTTTTAAATCCTAACACGGGCTTGCGCGAACATATCGAACTTTCAATTATATAAGCATAAGCTAGTGGTGTAACTGATCCAATTATCATGTGCTCAACCATTTACCATGTGCATCATTATATGCCTGAATTATCATCATTGTATGGTCAACTCTGTTGTTCTTGAGTAAAGATAAAGTTTTTATGAATTAAATAGTACAGAGTCAAATTTGTATCAGACGTGTTACAAAACTTCATACCTAAGTCAAATTTGTATCAGTTTCTACATAGGATGATAATTCTAATATAGCTAATATTCCCTCATAGGTTAAACTTCAACGTATGGAAAATGGCCAGCAATAAATCCAGTAGTTGGGTGTGGAAAATCTTCATCATCAGGACATATGCCACAACCAAGTTTTCTTTTTTTGACTGCAAAAATACAAATACAAAAATGTGAATTCTAAGATAAAACGTTCAAATTGGAACAGACAACTTCAACTACAACGTTTTTCTTATTCCAAGGTGAAAGAAAGCCTGTATCAAGCCACAACATATACACCTTAAGCCATTTAAATTGTAACATTACTTACTACCCTAAATCTGGTAGTCTGGTATCAGCAATGGAAGTACAAATAACACGATTTTCACATGCATAAATAATCAATGTTTATGATAACTCAACAAATTCAATTTATCTCAAGGTAAAAAATGATCTTGCTACAAGATAACAATCATTATATAAAGTATATCCCCCACAATAAGCATTTGCCCATAATATCTACAGACTACAGAAGTCATTGACAAATTACAGCACGTTAACCAAGAACACCCGATAGGTAAGACAATATGTATGTGTCATATATTCATAACACGATGATATTGTATTATTATGAATTAAAAAGCAGATAAGGATATTAGGAGCATAACCACGATCATCATTAGTTTTAATGATAAAACAATGAGTGGGATGAAGTTCCACACCAGAGAGAAAAATCTCAGCGAAAAACAATTGTGGGGACAAGTCGGCAGCACATTCAACATTTTCAGGCACAGCCTTCAAGAAGATGTGATGATATGCTCCTGGCTCTAAGCTTGAAATCGGTGGAATGAATTTACCGTCTTCTTTCACCATTTTCAGAAGGTGAAACTCAATGCCCTAGACCACAGGAGAAAGTAAATAAATACCTGGAGCACACGAGTAGATAGAGCAACCTGTTCCCCCTACGCACAAAAAGTAGACAAACCGGGTCTTCGGGCAGGGCCTGGTCTTTTGCAAAAAGCAACGTTATTAAAAAGAAGAAAAATTGTTGAGCCACCAGGAAGAAGCCCCACTTGGCAAGAATGGGATCATAGCTATAAAAAGTGAAGAGAAGAAAGAGTGACAAATCTGAATCTTTCAAAGGAAAGAGATAGATTATGAATATATAGCATAGAGAAAATACAAAGAGTAGCCTCAATTACATCGACCCTCGCGCACTAAAGCAACTTCTGCCAGACAAGACCAAGGATGACCAGTGAACAAAGAAGAATGATAACGTTATAATCAGAGGAAAACAAAATAATTAAAATAAGGCAAAAGTGAATCTGCGATAGCCAAGCCAATCAGCAGACGGTGAGAGGATTATAATGTAAATGACATACAATGTTGCTTTAGGGTCTGACAATCCATTCTTCATGAGATCTCCTAGGTATTTTTGTTGCCTTTTTCCTGTACAGTAGAAGACATCTTAAGATGGTTCAATTACATGGGAGTGACCACCGAGGAGATCTGTCCCTTCATAGGTCCACCACAATCATTTCACCAGTATAACAATGTCTTATTCTAATTTCTTGTTGTCATTTTCTTAATTTTTCTTCCACTTTAGATTTTTTTTATGTTTGTAATGTTGCAAGTATATAAGGTATTTTATGAAACCACTTGTTAAGTCAAAGTGTTTGATTTTGTAATGCTGCAAGTGTTGATATGAAACTACTCGTTAAGTCAAAATGTTTAATCTTTTTCTAGCAGTAGAAAACTTTACTTCTCTCTTGTTAACTTGATTTTTCTTTCTTTTTGGTCTTGATTTTTCTTTTTGGTTGTAGGCGTGTCCTCATTATACCATAGAGAACTATTTAAAGTACTTCCCTTGCGACGACACTGAGGTAAATAGCTCATTGATGGTGCATTTGAAGATAGCTGGACCTTGCCTCATACTTTTTACACTGAATTACACATATTATGATCTGAACCATGCGACTCAAGTATATGAGGGTGGTCATGTAATAGATAACGAGAATAACCATTTATTAGTTAGCGAGAATAATCATTTAGTAGTAGTCGTTGGGTCGGGATGTTTGAGAGGGATTGAGTACTGGCTCTATCTAAATAATTGGGGACCACGGTGGGGTCGCAATGGGAGAGGCATGATTGCAAAATGTTTTGTTCCACTTACGGAACGTTTTGCATTCATGAACCTCCTATAGCGACTCCACCGCGATCCTCAATTATTTAGATAGAGTCAGTACTCAACCTCTCTCAAACATACCGACACAACGACTACTACTAAATGGTTCTCGCTAACTACTAAATGATTATTCTCTTACATGACCAACTTCATATACTTGAGTCGCATGATTTAGATCATAATATTAGTCATCCAGCGTAAAAAGTATAAGTAAATGTCCAACTATTTTCAAATGCACCATCAATGAGCTATTTACACCAGGGTCGTTGCAAGAAAAGTACTTCAAATAGTACTTTATGGTATAATGAAGACACGGCTACAATCAAAAAGAAAAATCAAGTTAACAAGAGAGAAGTAAAGTTTTCCACTGGTAGAAAGATTAAACATTTTGACTTAAGGAGTGGTATCATAACAACACTTGCAGCATTACAAAATCAAACACTTTGACTTAACAAGTGATTTTATAAAATACCTTATACACTTGCAGCATAAATAANNNAAAAAAAAAAAAAAAAAAAAAAAAAAAAAAAAAAAAAAAAACTAAAGTGAAAGGAAAATTAAGAAAATGACAACAATGAAATTAGAATAGTAATTGTCGTTGACCTTTGAAGGGACAGATCTCCTCGGTGGTTACTCCCATGTAACTGAACCATCTTAAGATGTCCTCAGGTCCTTGCACCGTCAACTTGCTCCGGGATGTTTCTTGACCTGTTCAAGGCCCAAATCCGATACCTTAACTCAATACATACAGTGGATGCATGGGAGCACAATAACCTACACAAAAAGTAATGACATGAGTCTCATTTGTTTTTTGAATAGGTGATTCTAAATTTTTAACACAAAGATACTCACCAGGGTTCAAATCACGAGTTTGTCCTCTGGTAGTTTTTCTCAATAATGATTGGCCACGGATAATCTGTTTGTCATACGACCATCCCTCACGTATGGCAAGTCTCACACATCTCAAACGTCTGGCAACATTACGGAGAAACCTCACAAATGGTCTGTCACGTCTGCCACTGGCAATAACATCATGAAGAAACCTCACAAATGGTTTCATAGGATCCATATAAATTATGGTGATATTAGATATAACCGAGAGTGAAGGTGGAAAACTTGGACGTGAACTGAGGAGAAAGATCTAGGGCCGGCTCAAATTGACGATTGAAAATCTCCTGCGAGAGATGGAGGAGACGAGCAGGAGATTTTCAATCGCTCTCGCAGGAGATTTTCAATCGCCAATTTCAGTCGACCCTAGATCTTCCTCCTCAGTTCACGTCCACGCATTCCACATTCACTCTCGGTTATATCTAATATCACCATAAAATATGGATCATATGAAACCATTTGTGAGGTTTCTCCATGATGTTATTGCTAGACGTGGCAAACGTGACAGACCATTTGTGAGGTTTCTCCGTGATGTTGCCAGACGGGCTAGACGTTTGAGACGTGTGAGACTTGTCATAAGTGCAGAATGGTCGTATGACAAACAAATTATCTGTGACCAATCATTACTTAGAAAAGCTACCAAGCAACAAACTCGTGATCTGGATTCTGATGAGTACCTTTTTTTGTGTTAATTTTAGAACCACCTGTTCAAAAAATAAATGAGACTCATGTCATTACTTTTTGTGTAGGTTATTGTGCTCATTATGCATCCACTGTATGTATTGAGTTAAGGTATCGGGTTTGGGCCTTGAACAAACAACAACAACATAGCCTTTAGTCCCAAGCAAGTCGGAGTAGGCTAGAGATGAAACCCAAGAGAAACACAAAAAGACTCGAACCGAAAGGAAGAGATTGAAAAAAAAAAAAAAAAACGAGAGAGAGAGAAATGAGCAAAACTCACGGTTCTGGCACGTTGATAGCGAGCCTCCAAGCGCTCCTATCCACCGCTAAATCCTTGGAAATATTCCAATCTCTAAGGTCTCTTTTAACCGACTCTTCCCAAGTGAGTTTAGGCCGACCTCTACCTCTCTTAACATCCTCGACCCGCTGAAGAACTCCCCTACGCACCGGGGTGCATCAGGAGGCCTCCGTTGGACATGTCCGAACTACCTCAGCCGATGTTGAACCAATTTCTCCTCAATTGGAGCCACCCCGACCCTATCTCGAATATCCTCATTCCGGATTCTGTCCCTTCTTGTGTTCTCGCAGAGCCAACGCAACATACGCATCTCTGCTACACTTAGTTGTTGGACATGTTGCCTTTTTGTAGGCCAACATTCAGCACCGTATAGCATCGTCGGGCGAATCGCCGTCCTATAAAACTTACCTTTTAGCCTTTGTGGCACTCTCTTATCACAGAGAACGCCCGACGCCTGACGTCATTTCAACCAACCGGCTGCAATTCTATGCCTAACATCAGCATCAATGCCGCCATCCTTTTGTAGCATCGATTCCAAATACCGGAAAGTCTACTTCTTGGCCACCACTTGCCCGTCAAGGGTAACGTCACCATCATCATGTGAAGTCATGCTGAAAGCGCACGTCATGTACTCGGTCTTCGTCCTACTAAGTCTGAAGCCTTTCGACTCTAACGCGTCCTTCCACAGCTCCAACTTCCTATTTACCCCTGCTCTACTCTCGTCAACTAGCACAACATCATCAGCAAAGAGCATACACCAAGGGATATCACCTTGTATGTCCCTTGTGACCTCATCCATCACCAACGCAAATAGATAAGGGCTCAATGCTGACCCCTGGTGTAGTCCTATTTTAATTGAGAAGTCGCTTGTGTTGCCCCCACATGTTCGGACACACGTCATCGCATCCTTGTACATATCCTTGATGAGGGTAATGTACTTAGATGGGACTTTGTGCTTTTCTAAGGCCCACCACATGACATTTCTCGGTACTCTGTCATAAGCCTTCTCAAGGTCGATAAAGACCATGTGCAAGTCCTTCTTTTGGTCCCTATATCTCTCCGTCAACTGACGTATTAGGAAAATCGCCTCCATGGTCGACCTTCCAGGCATGAACCCAAATTGGTTTTGGGTCACACTCGGGTCAAGAAATACACACTTGCACTTTTAAAGTTGTGCGACAGCTCAAAATCTCTGTCAAACACTAAGTCAAATTGTTGCTGAGGCAACTTCTCAGCGAAGAGTGTTCCAAGAACAAGCCTCTTTCCAACAGCTTCATTTCCTTTTTTCTTTTTAACCTCACCAATGCAAGCTTGTTTTCATTATAGTACAGGAAATTATTATGAAAGGAAGTGACAACATTTGTTCATAAGAATTGTTTGGGACCTGAGAAAGATGCAAGATCATCCGATCACCAGGCGAAACCTTCAGCGGCTCTCCGCTTTTCACCTCAACACCTGCCAAACACAATAATATGAGTGAACTTTTATCAATATTTTCTAAACATTTCGCAACAATGCAACAACCCTTTCAANTNNNNC